TAGAGACACTACATACTGATATACACCTGAACATCAGCAGGAGAGGACTCTTTAAAGTAGAGACACTACATACTGATATACACCTGAACATCAGCAGGAGAGGACTCTTTAAAGTAGAGACACTACATACTGATATACACCTGAACATCAGCAGGAGAGGACTCTTTAAAGTAGAGACACTACATACTGATATACACCTGAACATCAGCAGGAGAGGACTCTTTAAAGTAGAGACACTACATACTGATATACACCTGAACATCAGCAGGAGAGGACTCTTTAAAGTAGAGACATACTGATATACACCTGAACATCAGCAGGAGAGGACTCTTTAAAGTAGAGACACTACATACTGATATACACCTGAACATCAGCAGGAGAGGACTCTTTAAAGCAGAGACACTACATACTGATATACACCTGAACATCAGCAGGAGAGGACTCTTTAAAGTAGAGACACTACATACTGATATACACCTGAACATCAGCAGGAGAGGACTCTTTAAAGTAGAGACACTACATACTGATATACACCTGAACATCAGCAGGAGAGGACTCTTTAAAGTAGAGACACTACATACTGATATACACCTGAACATCAGCAGGAGAGGACTCTTTAAAGTAGAGACACTACATACTGATATACACCTGAACATCAGCAGGAGAGGACTCTTTAAAGTAGAGACACTACATACTGATATACACCTGAACATCAGCTGGAGAGGACTCTTTAAAGTAGAGACACTACATACTGATATACACCTGAACATCAGCAGGAGAGGACTCTTTAAAGTAGAGACACTACATACTGATATACACCTGAACATCAGCAGGAGAGGACTCTTTAAAGTAGAGACACTACATACTGATATACACCTGAACATCAGCAGGAGAGGACTCTTTAAAGTAGAGACACTACATACTGATATGCACTTGAACATCAGCAGGAGAGGACTCTTTAAAGTAGAGACACTACATACTGATATACACCTGAACATCAGCAGGAGAGGACTCTTTAAAGTAGAGACACTACATACTGATATACACCTGAACATCAGCAGGAGAGGACTCTTTAAAGTAGAGACACTACATACTGATATACACCTGAACATCAGCAGGGGAGGACTCTTTAAAGTAGAGACACTACATACTGATATACACCTGAACATCAGCAGGAGAGGACTCTTTAAAGTAGAGACACTACATACTGATATACACCTGAACATCAGCAGGAGAGGACTCTTTAAAGTAGAGACACTACATACTGATATACACCTGAATATCAGCAGGAGAGGACTCTTTAAAGTAGAGACACTACATACTGATATACACCTGAACATCAGCAGGAGAGGACTCTTTAAAGTAGAGACACTACATACTGATATACACCTGAACATCAGCAGGAGAGGACTCTTTAAAGTAGAGACACTACATACTGATATACACCTGAACATCAGCAGGAGAGGACTCTTTAAAGTAGAGACACTACATACTGATATACACCTGAACATCAGCAGGAGAGGACTCTTTAAAGTAGAGACACTACATACTGATATACACCTGAACATCAGCAGGAGAGGACTCTTTAAAGTAGAGACACTACATACTGATATACACCTGAACATCAGCAGGAGAGGACTCTTTAAAGTAGAGACATACTGATATACACCTGAACATCAGCAGGAGAGGACTCTTTAAAGTAGAGACACTACATACTGATATACACCTGAACATCAGCAGGAGAGGACTCTTTAAAGCAGAGACACTACATACTGATATACACCTGAACATCAGCAGGAGAGGACTCTTTAAAGTAGAGACACTACATACTGATATACACCTGAACATCAGCAGGAGAGGACTCTTTAAAGTAGAGACACTACATACTGATATACACCTGAACATCAGTAGGAGAGGACTCTTTAAAGTAGAGGCACTACATACTGATATACACCTGAACATCAGCTGGAGAGGACTCTTTAAAGTAGAGACACTACATACTGATATACACCTGAACATCAGCAGGAGAGGACTCTTTAAAGTAGAGACACTACATACTGATATACACCTGAACATCAGCAGGAGAGGACTCTTTAAAGTAGAGACATACTGATATACACCTGAACATCAGCAGGAGAGGACTCTTTAATGTAGAGACACTACATACTGATATACACCTGAACATCAGCAGGAGAGGACTCTTTAAAGTAGAGACACTACATACTGATATACACCTGAACATCAGCAGGAGAGGACTCTTTAAAGTAGAGACACTACATACTGATATACACCTGAACATCAGCAGGAGAGGACTCTTTAAAGTAGAGACACTCCATACTGATATACACCTGAACATCAGCAGGAGAGGACTCTTTAAAGTAGAAACACTACATACTGATATACACCTGAACATCAGCAGGAGAGGACTCTTTAAAGTAGAGACACTACATACTGATATACACCTGAACATCAGCAGGAGAGGACTCTTTAAAGTAGAGACACTACATACTGATATACACCTGGCTTGATGGGGTTAGTGTTTTTGACATCAGCGTTGAGTCACATCCATTAGACAAACAGAACAACTGGAAAGAAAACTCACCCATAATGCACCGACTATAGGTCTGGCTCATGGTACTATCACACATGAGAAAAAAATAACTAAAAAACAACTTTATTCAATGACAGGAAACAAATAAAGGATTATAGATAGATATAGAGGGTGGTTTTTATTCATTACTATTCTTTTGTATTATCTATTTATGTAGCTATTGTTCTTTTTGATCAACCAGTTGTATTATCTCCAGTTATTACACGGCTATGTGAATACTCGATTCTGATTGGTCAAATCGTAGATTTCAGAGGTTGTTAATTCTCAACTATAATAATAATAGCTTAGATTTATATAGCACCTTTCATGGGACCCAAGGTCGCTTGACCATAATAATAATGCATTTTACTTATATAGCGCTTTTCACAACTCAAAGACGCTTTACAGTATGAGGGAGGGTAGACAAACAAGGACAGGCAAACAAGTAAGTATAGTAAAATAAAAAAATAAAAAGGCAGTCAAGAGGAAGTTGATTGAGAGGGGGGGGGGGCTTATGGGTAGACAGAGTTGAAAAGATGTGTTTTGAGGCGGGACTGAAAGACTGTGAGGGACTCAGAGTCACGAAGATCTTGGGGGAGGGGATTCCAGAGCATAGGAGCTGCCACTGAGAAGGCTCTGTCCCCAAAGCTGCAGAGTGCGGATGTGGGAGTGGATAGGAGTCCGGCTGCGGTGGATCGGAGGGACCGTGGGGGTTGATAAGGAATGAGAAGGTTTGTGAGATGGTGGAGTGCTTTGTAGGTGAGGACCAGAACTTTGTAGTTGATGCGATGGGAGACAGGAAGCCAGTGGAGGTCTTTGAGGACTGGGGTGATGTGATGCCATGATTTGGTATATGGTATTTGGTATAATAGACAATAGAGTGCTGCTAAAGAGAAATGACTGTTGCTAAGGAGGATCAATGTGTGCAGTGATATCAACCAGCAGTAAAGAAGTTGTGTACATTTAGAGTCAGCTGAGGACAACACACATTCGTTTTCATCCGTCAGAAAGCACAGCGATATACATGTTCAATATTATTTTTTATATTTGTGGTGAGCAGGAAACGTTGTCCTCAGTACAGAACAGAGAACAAGAACAACAGAAGGAAAGAGGTTAAACGTAAGAGCTCTGGACGTCAGATTAATCACCTGAAGAAGACAGACAAGAAGTAAGCTAACAGGAACACGGAGCATCGTATGGGCTCTGGCAGAGTTTAAAGACTGGTTCATGGACAATAAAATGTAAAACGACATGGACAGTTGTGATGCTTCACGTCTGGGTCATTATACCAGCCTTGCTGCACATTATCCTGGGCAAATGAGCATAATAGCCCCCCCCCCCCCCCTTTGGAGTCCTGACTATATTAAAATCAGAAAGTATGTTGTGTTAATGTAGAACATTTCCACACAGCTTTGTCTGTCCCCTTTGTTCTGTCACACTTCCAAAAACACCAAAATGAAATGTTTGCACTAAATTAGGAGATAAAAATGACAGCTGACTGAGCCCCCTGTAGTTACTGCTGCTACTTCTGTCAACCTCCCTGTGGTCGCTCCGCACATCGTTTTTTAATAATAACAATGGCAGATTTACTATTCCAACTAAATGTGTGTTTGGGTTTGGATGCAGAATATCTCTTGCTGTGTACACACTGCTTCATCACAGGGAGGAGTCATTGGCTTCAAGGCTTATTTTCGGCTAATCGCCTCTCAGGGGAGGGGTTTAACGAGTGGTCATTTAAGGTGGCAAAACTTTATATCAACATCTAAAAGGTCCGGACACACCAAACTGACACCAAAGAACACGTCCCGACGGACCCGACTGTTGTGTCGCCTCACGTCTCATGGCCAAGAAGTCGTACTGGAACACACCGCAAAGACTTCAGCCGTCGGCCAAGTAGCACGTACGCACTGCGCATGCGTGATGGGCAATACCTTTCCTTACCAGCAGGCGGCGGTAGTGTGTATTCGTCATTCAAAAGAGGCAACAACCGGAAGACAGACCGCGTGATACACCGAGAGAAGAAGAACAGACCATGTGATATACATGATATACTGTTTCACTTGCGACTTAAAATCGTAAACATGTTTAGTGCGGTACTGGCGTTATCAGCCAAAGGGGACATACTTGGACTGGTGTCTCACTTCCGTTTCGCTTCTCATGCACTGATTCGCTAAGCTGGAGGGCCAATCAGAGTGATTTATTTTGCCGACAGCCTCCGCTCCCGATTCAACATGTTCAATCGGGAGCGGAAGGTGACGGCACGGCCGAAAAGACACGACGGTGCGGGACACCGCAATCCGAGTAGGGCAACAGGACGCTCATCGACGGCCAGACATCTATCGAAGGCCGAAATCGGCTTGGTGTGTCCTGGACTTAAGGTTTCAGTCAAAGAGCACAGGAAGCGAGGCAGTGTGAGTTTAGCAGAGTTTATTCTTATTCACATTTAAAAGATTCCAATGGCGGCACATTTTTCGACATATACCTGCGAGTGTCCCGCAGACACATCTCATCATCCATGGAATGGGAGAAGAAGAAAACATTTTTAAAAATCTCATTACTTCGTGTGTGTGTGTGTACGTGTGTGTGTGTGTGTGTGTGTGTGTGTGTGTGTGTGTGTGTGTGTGTGTGTGTGTGTGTGTGTGTGTGTGTGTGTGTGTGTGTGTGTGTGTGTGTGTGTGTGTGTGTGTGTGTGTGTGTGTGTGTGTGGATGTTCCCTCTCTCCCTCCCTCCCTCCCCCTTGGCTTGGAGGGATTGTTGCATCTCCACAGAGCCTGCTGTGTTGTTGGGAACATAAATATAAATACCAACATGTTTACGAGAAGGCTTCAACAGAGTCTGTGCGGGACAGATGTCGGGGGGGGGGAACTGTCACCCACCACCACGGCACGTAAGGCCATCCGGAGACTGGATCTTCTTTTCATTGCTCACTCTCCATCATTTCATTCACCAGCTGCTCCAGTCATATGTCCAGGAGGTGAAAAAAAAACCTAAAAACATTCAAAACTGGAAGAAAAAAAAGGAAACCCAACTGTTGTAAACAAATCCCCGTTCAGCGCCGCCTTTCACTTCCTGCTCGTAGTCTTCGTCCTCATCCTCAGCAGATGTCTGATGGTTGTGATTAAGTTCAGTCTGGAGGCTGTTACCATCAGAACAAATGGGCCTCAGTCTCCTTGTGTGTGTGTGTGTGTGTGTGTGTGTGTGTGTATGTGTGTGTGTCACTGGTACTGGAGGTAGTTCTTGAGCGTCTGCGGCAGAGGGAGGGTGTCGATGTGATGGATGCGCTCTCTGCCCAGAGCCACTCGAGCTACTCGTCTGCACAGGTCCATGAGGGGGAGGGGCTCCGCTGTGGGGGAGGGGAGAGAGAGAGACATGGTGAGGGTCCAAACAGTACAAGAGTTAATGTGTTACAACAGAATGGAGGGATATGCTGTATTCATTAAAAGGCATTGTAGTGTATTCTATAGGTTTCTGTGCATGTCAATGGTCTGCAAAGCCTACAATCCCCGTGTTCCCTCCAGTTAGGGTCCAAACAGTACAAGACAAGTTTATTTATACAACTGATCAGACTTGCTCCCACTTTGCCTGTTTTTAAATCTTGTTTAAAGACCTACTTCCCGTGCTTTTGCAGACCACGTATAAGACGTATCACTCTGTTTTCTAAATTGGGGTTTTCCATTTAGTTGTGTTTTCAAATGTGTTTACATCGTGGATGAGGGTTTTCAGTCTGTGGCTATAAGTACGGTTTTATTGTCTCGTGCTTTTACATTAGTTTATTTTTGTCTAAATGTATTTATGCTGCGTTTTATACATATGTATTGATGTAGAGCGCTTTGGTCAACTGTTCTTAAATGTGCTGTATAAATGAAATTGGATTGGATATAGCACCTTTCAACACAAGGCAATTAAAAAGCAAAGATAATAAAATAAACATTAAAAGAAAAAATACATGAATACAAGAGTGTTGCAACAGAATGGGACGATATGCTGTTTTCATTAAAGAGGCACTGCAGTGTGTTCTATAGGTTTCTGTGCATGTCAATGGCCTGCAAAGCCTCCAGAGGGAGTTTCTCTCCCCCTCCCCTTTTTTCTAAATCTATGCACACAGAAGTTTGTCTGTACACACCGTAAAGCTCCTTGAGACAAAGTGTAGTTTATGATATTAGGGGGTGCACGATTCAGGAAATCTCACGATTCGATTTCTTGGGGGTCACGATTTGATTCACAATTGATTCGCGATCCAAAAAGATTCTCGATTCAAAATAGCTCAGGAGTCCGCCCTGTGAGGCATGAAGGGCGGACAGAGTGAAGAGGATGCTGCATAAAGTCTATGTGCCATGTTAGCGGGACATTACGGAGCTCACGCCATAGAAAGAAAAAATGGAAAACATCGCTACGGCAAGACTGAAAAATGTGAATCGGTAGAGATAGAATGTGAATCCATTTTTTTGCGCACCCTATATGATATTGGGCCATATAAATAAAAATGGATTCGTAAACCGATTGAACTTAAAGAGCCTGTGACAGCATCCCAACAACTGTTGTGCAATGAAATATTGGGCTACTAGTAATCTCGAACCGTCAGTTTAAAAAAGAAAAAGCGATACCGTTCCGTTAAATATCAATAATTTCGAACATCGCGGGGAAATTCCTTCGACTCATTTTGAAGTTTTGGGGGAAGCCGGAAGTGACGTCAATGCGGGAACGCTTCACTGTGCGGCGAGAGAGCCAAACACGGACAAAGTGTGTTGTCATGCATAGAAATGGTGAATTACTGAGTTTAGGCACGTTAATAACGTTTTAATGAAGTTGACGACAGTATATTCATATTTGTCAGTGCTTTCATGTCAATTCGGCGAACATAAACATTAATGATCGTGGTGAAGATGATGATTACATTAGGATTACAAATCGGTAGTGAGAGCTACTGAATTTCCTCCCGTAGGATGTGATATAAAAACAAATCGATTATTTTTGTAGTTGTAAACTCAAGTGGATGAAACTACATGTATTAGTGCTTTCATGTCAATTCGGCGAACATATGATACATTAAATGATCGTGAGGATGATGATTAAAAATCGTTTGTTTGAGCCGGTCTGCATTTCCTGATGAGAAAACAAACCGATGCTTTTTGTAGTTGTAGTACACCAACATGGATTAAACGTGTGTTTTTTTCACCACAATGTTGGGGAAATTAATGGATAAAATGCACGGATTATTATTATTATTATTCCCACTCCGATCGGGACACCAGGTCCACCGTTTCCCCGCAGCGAGGCTCCCCCCGTTGACAGTTTACGTGGGCTGGGTGCAGTCGCGGACTGGCCATCGGGACGAATCCCGATGGGCCGGTACCGAAGTGGGCCGGTCGGATAAGTCACTAGCACATCCCCCATAGGCAGCGCGTGAGGCTCAGGTTTGGGAAGGCTAAATAACTTTTTTTACCTGACGCTGCCCGCCTCCGGCGTCTATAGAAAAGAGATCAACTCAGTGTGCGGAGTTTAAATCTCTCAAGTCATATTACAGGATAAAGGAAATACAGTTTAAACTGCCGTATGCAGAGAAGACGCCGACGTGTCGCACTTATCATTCATATTACATCATCAATCAGATCATCGATCATATAATGTATCATATATTTCCTTATCTCAGTCAGCTTCTCCAGCCGTATCTGGCCGTGCAACACTTACAGTGTCACATACTGTATGCAGAAGAGAAGTATTATTTTAAGCAACACATTATGTTGACGAAACACTCGAGTCAAATGTAATTAAAGTCAGATCCACTCGTGTCTTAGACGTGAACGCGCTCTCAGTTGGAGAGAGAAACCCTGGCTTAATTTACCGAGTTGATAACCAGCGTCGTAGGACCGCTTAGCGAGATCTCGTTTGTTAGTTTGTTGTTGTTAGTTTGTTACTCAAACATATCCAGGGTCTGTTGAACTGGCTTCGTAGCACAGGGCACAGGTGGCTGGCAGCGCTAATGTCAAAGACACAGACATTGCATTATATATTGTATTTTACCAGGATGCAGTGACACAAATATTTACATATTTACATTTACTATCTACAGCACCCGCCGCCCCTGACATCCCCCACTCCCCCCGTTGACAATTTACTAGCGGTACCGAAGTGGGCCGGTCGAGAGTCCCGGGATGATTTTTAGTCCCATTCCACCACTGGCTACATGACCGTATGATCGCCCATATTGACGCACCTAATTCCTAAACTTCTAACAGATACAACATAAACCGATCCTTCAGCCTCATATGAGCTCTCAGACACGTTCAAAATTAAACTGTCATCGCTGTCTGAGCTTGCTGCTGTGTGCGCCATCGTGCGTTTACATGCAGATGCTGGGATCCTGAACGGTGCAGCTGGAGCGCTGTGCCCGCAATGACGTCACACGTAATTTGGCGGGATTTGAAGAATCCCCGAGAAGATCCAGAAAATGGTCAACATTGAAGGGCAGATTAATGGTTATCAAAGTACAAATATCCAAAATCAGTTCAGTAACGGTTTTCAAGGGGACCATATTTACTCAAATTGATGGGTTTGGATGATGGGGGACACTCGTGTCACAGGCTCTTTAAGTCGAGCAATTACAGACTTGCTTGACTGCATTATGTAAATTGTTTCAAAATATAGGCATAATGGTGCGTCACCATCCCACACACTGAAACACCAGCGACGTTGGAGGCATATGACGCTCAGACGGAGACAGACTTTTAACGGCTGCCTCTTTACGGACGTCCAGCTGCTGCACCTGAAAGCACCATCTGTTAGGGTTGAGGTCCTGCTGCTCAGAGTCCACTGACACACTGTGTGAAGGACACGAGCAGGGGCATTCACACACACACACACGGCAAGAAAAGTTTGTGGCAGTTTCCATTAACACGACACGTTTTCATAAATATTCAAAAGACATCCATCACATGTCGGCCGTAGCCTTGAGTTACGATTTATCGATGGAGCCCTGAAAAATAAGGGCAGCACGATTTGAGAGCAAATAACTAAATTGGGTTTATTTGGGAGATAAATTATTATTTAATTTATATTATCATACCTTTGACCTCTTGGTGTCTATTAACCTGATAACATGTTATATTTTGCTGCATGTGCAGGTCTGTAACGTTCTTAAATAATCTGAGGGGAATTTCTTGTTGTGTATTTTTAACTTGTGATGTGTTATTTTGTAGATTACTTTGAGCTGCATGTGTTGTATGAAAAGTGCTATATAAATAATATTATTATTTTGACTGACATTGCCTTAGTCACTAGTCCATATTTCGATGTTGATCACTTGTGCAGCCCTCAGGAAGCTGCTATCAACAGTCTGGAGTCGAATACAGCATGATCTTTCCATATTGATGCCGTCCATATTTGGTGTGATAGAAATACATTTTTGGAAGGTGTTAATATTCACAGAAAAACACGTCAATCCCAACAAGCCTCCTCTGTGACTGATTGAGCCGTTCGCTCTCCGCAGTCTATTGAAAGTGCCACGCGTTACCACAGACTGAAGCCCCCCCCCCCCCCCCACCAAACAAATAAGAAGCAAATATGTGACAAGTCTGACGCCTATTCACTGGAGCAAAGCACTGGACACACACACACAGCTAAAGAGGAAACCGAAGCTTGTCTGAAGCGAGGCAAAAATCAAATCTGCAAAGAAATATTCACTTAATGTCTGTGTGAGAATAAACAATAGCCTTTTCACTCTGTTTTTAAGCATCTGTTGCTACGGTGTTCTTTAATTGTCCTTTAATGTTTTTAAATAGATCAGAACATTTGTTGTACTTTAGTAATGCCAAGTGCCATCGTCTTGTTATTAAGGCGTTTTGCTTTTCGCACCATATCGTGGCCTTAGGCGCTTTCACACCGAGTGCTTTTCCCAGGAATAGTTCCGATAGTTCCTGGGATTTTGCGTTTACACCAAAAAGATCTGGAACTAGAACTTTTTTTCGGGAACCTTTTCACCCCTTTTCAGTGCCTGCTAGAGAGGTGGTACTTTCCTGGGGAGGAAAAGGTTTCAATTTCTGATTGGCTGGGCGAATTGCAAACCACGCCCCGTAAAACCCAGAAAAGTTTTGTGAAGCCGCCATTGTATTTGCTCGCATTAGCATTATTAGCATTAGCATTAGCCCAGCGCACCAACGGAGAGAGACTAACTTATGGCAACACAAAATGAAACGTGGGAGCGGTGGAGTGATGAGGTTTTACCCGGGACTTCGGGTGGCAGTATACGCCGTGAAGTTGTTTGCGGCCTGCCAGTAAACCCAAAGCAGAAGAAGAAGAAGAAGAAGTGACGTCAGCGGCTTCATTTGCGTAATCCTCCCTCAGGGA